CCCGAGGCCGGACCCCGCCCTCCAGACCACCTGCCCCGATCTGCCCCCGACCACGAGCCACGCCTCTCCCGCCCACCGCGGGCACCGCGCCACCCCTGAGATGCCCGCTCCAGCGCAGCCTCAGCTGTTGCAGGGGGTGGGTGGCGTCCCCCCAAAGAGACGTCCACGTCCTAACCCCAGAATCTCAGAACGGGAGCTTATTTGGGTATGAGACTGCAGATGCGCTCAAGTTAAGACGTGGTCACAGTGCGGGAGGGCAGGCCCTTACAGGCAAAGGAGACACACGGAAGGCGGCCCCGCGGAGGCGGAGGCTGGAGGGGCGCGGCCACAGCCCAGGGATGCCGGGGGCCCCCTAAGCTGACAGAGGCAGGAAGGACCCGGCGCTTGAAACCTTCAGAGGGAGCACAGCCCTGCCGAAACCTGGATTTTGGACATCTGGTCCCCCAAACCGTGAGACTCAATCTGTGGTCATTTGTTCGGGCTGCCCCAGGGCACTAACTGGTCCGCGTCCCTAGGACGTCATCCCAGGACGTCTTCAAAGCAATAAACCTCCTGACTCGGGAGAAAGGCCCCGTCGGGGCGCACATTCTGCCCAGGAGCAGCGCGGCCTTGCACGCCCGCTGGCCTCTCGCGGAGCAAAGGCAGGTCACGTCCGTGCCCTGGTGACCTCTGGGCGGCTGCCCGGTCGTGGCCGCAGAAGGCTGGGCCAGCAGAGTGCAAGAGGGGCCCTCATCCGGGGCACCTGGGCGGCTCAGTCGGTTGAGGGTCCCACTCTTGGTTTCGGCTCAGGTCATGATCCAGGGGTCGTGGGATCAAGCCCCGCATAGGGCTCCGTGCTGGGAAGCCTGCTTGAGGTTCTCTCTCCCTGCCCCCCGCCCCCCGCCCCATTTCTCTCCCTCCCTCTTTTCCTCTGCCTCCTCATCCAGGCTATCGAATGCGGGGTTTCTCCACCAGGAGTGATGCTGGCTCCGAGGACGTCTGGAAACCTCTGAAGCGTTCTGGTGATCGGGACCTGGGGGCGCCACCGGGGCATGGCAAAAGCCCCTCCTTAAAGAGTGACTCCCCACCTTGCGAGCGTTTGAGTATCTGGTGGAACGCGTGGGTTTTTCTCACCAGGAAAGCGCACCTAAGCCCCGGTGCCGCTTCCAATCGGGTCAGCTTGCACAACTGGGTTCTCCTGGGGGCTATCCTATTTCCAAAACTGCCACCCTTCGCTCCTTGTAATCGGAGCACACACACCCCCGGGAGTGATTCATTAGCCAGGACGTCTCTCCTTGAAATCGAGGCGACAGCCGCGATCTGCTAATCACGCTGGCAGGGGCCCGGGCACACCTCAGCGGCCGCGTGCGCCCAGACGGTCTCTGAACAGATTCTGGGTCTGCCCGTGTCCAGCAGGGCGGGGGGAGGCACCAGGCTGCGGCGGGCGGATGGTTCTGCCAACCGCCTTGGGCCCTGGCCATCTCCGATGAAAGCCCGGGGGGGGAGAGGGGCCCTCGTAGAGCACGGTTTATGACTCGAGGGACCCCGGGAGGGAGAGGACACGGCCTGGCTTCAGCCGCTGGAGCCTGGAGCCGCCCCGTGCTGCTTTCGCTTTTAAAACAACCCAAATCCACTGCTGAACAACCTCTTTTAGCCATAGGGCAAAACTTTCAATGAAATTCTTAGGTCTTGTTGGGAAAACCGGATCTTTTGTGGGATAGTGCCTGCCATCTCTCTGTTTCTTTTTTTTCATTATTATTTAAAAAAATTTTTTTTTCACTTTTGAGAGAGAGAGAGAGAGAGAGACAGAGAGAGCAAGCGCTTTCGTCAGTGGGGGAGGAGCAGAGAGAGAGGGAGACACAGAATCCAAAGCAGGCTCCAGGCCCCAAGCTGTCAGCACAGAGCCCGACGTGGGGCTTGAACTCACGGACCGCGAGATCACGACCAGAGCCGAAGTCGGACGCTCAACTGGCTGAGCCTCCCAGGCACCCTTCTGTGTTTGCTTTCTACTTCAAAGTCACGACCACATCCTATGAAGTTTCAAGAAAGGCGTGTGTGTTGCAGTTGACTGGACTTGGAAAGGCTCCTCCCCCCCTTCCAGATGAACCACAACACGTGATTTAACGTTAACGACAGCCCAGGATTTGCCTCGTGCCAGACTCGAGTTAAGCCCCTTCCCTTTGCTCACGATCACCCAGTGATACAAACACGACTGCCATTCCACGTTACAGACAGAGAAACTGAGGCCCACGCAACCCCGTAAGCCTTGCGAAGGGCAGGCCAAGGCTCTGGGATCTGGCCGGGGTCAGTGCGCATTGCCACACCTCGGGGGGGGGGGGCCTTCCGGGTGCAAGACTCTGAAGCCGTCGTCGGGAAAGAATGATGGGAACAGGGAGCGCATCCCTTAGCGGACGGACCAGGCACAGGTAGCTTGGAGCTCAAGCTCGCCGCTCTGTGTGCAGCCCCCAGCAGCCTCTCCTGCCTCCGACGGAGCCCGTTGTCTCCTCCAGCTACGAAGCGCCACGTCAGACCTGAGTCCGCGTAGTGGCCACGTTGTTCGGACAACAGCACGGGGCTGGCCGGGCGGAACGTGCCGGAAGTCAGCGCACCGACGGCTCCCCTCTTCTGAGTGGCCCGGGGCTCAGGTCTCAGACAAAGTGAGGAGACAGAAAATCCCAGGGGACGGGCCCATGCGCGCCCTGCCCTCGAGAGAGCCCTCTGCAGTCTCCTTAGGACCGCGAACATCAAAGCTCACACGCCCCTCCGACGGGAACCACTCCAGCCGCAGAAATCAACCCCCGCCAGGGAGCCGAGCCTCCGAAGGAGAAAGTCACCCAGAGAAATGCTCCGTGTGCAGCACGAGATCCCTCGACTGCTAGGTCAGGGGAGAGAGAGGCCCCACCACGCGTTTCCGGACGCCTTCGGGGCCAGCACTCTGAGCGTGTCGGGAAAGGGCGTTCACACCAGCTGACTCCGCCGACCGGCTTGCTGGTCGGAGGGCCCCAAAGCCGTCCCTCTCGCCGGACCCAAAGCAGCCATCATTTAAGGACGCGGTGGTTCTCGGCGATACGCGGCAAACTGAAACCAACTTTTAAACACGCGCCGTTGGCTCACGGCTCCCTCAGGCCGCCTGCTGACTACTCGCGCTGCTCTTAACGCGTCGCAGAGACTTTTGCTCATTCTCGGCCAGTCTGCACGGTGACAGCGCTGTGGGCGAGGGGCCTGTCCCCCCAGTGCTCACGGAAGGAACCCCCCACCACCGTGTGCACAGAGAGGTTAAGGAGCTGGCAGGGGAGGGCACGGCGAGCTTGCTGAGAAGCGCAGGGAAGCACCGACTGTCCCAAGGGCTGCCGAGGCCCCGCTCCCGGCCGCTGCCCAGCCTCCCGCCACCTGGGCGGCCCTGCACCCCGGGAGACAGCCTTTCATTCTCCCCAGAACGCTTTCCTTCGAAAGATGCTCAGGCTTCGCCAGGGACAGGCGCTCCAGAGAACGGTTTTGTGGTCGGGGGATTTCAGAGCACCAGAGCCCCCAGAGATCAAGCCAGCCTGACCTCCCCACCTGATAGATGGAGAAACTGAGGCCCCAGAAGGGCCAAGGTCAGTCTCCAGGAGAGCTTCATCCTCAGTCCCTGGGGAGGGGCGCGTCTTCCTTAGGGAAGGACGTGACCAGAGCAGGAAACGCCCTGACCCCGAAGGCCAGCCCCTCCCCGAGAGCAGGTGTCTCCGGGGCTGGTGGGTGCGGGTTGCTGGCTGGGGGGGTCTCCCCCAAACCCGAGCGAGCGATTTCTGCCCAACCTTAACAGGAGCGGCCTTTGCGTCGGCCCTTGTCGGAGAGCAGGCTGAAGCCAGAAGGACCCCTCGCCGCACCGCCTTCTGGACACGGCGCCGGGGCCCCGGCCGGCCTGCGCGCCCCGCGCGCCCGCAGGAAGCGGGCACGGTTACCTCCTCGTCCCGCTCCAGCTCCAGGCCGGCCTCCAGGAGGTTGCCCTCATACTCCTCTCTGCGGGAACGCTTGTCGTCCTCATGGTAGTCCGTCGGGGGCTCGGGCCCCCCCGCCGCCCCCACGTCCCCCTTGCCCGGCAGCGGCTGGTCCTGCCTGGTGCCGCGGGCTGCGGGGGCCGCGTCGCCGTGCTGCACCCTCCTGGCCGGGGTCCTGCTGCCCGAGGGCCTCTTGGGGTGGTACACCAGGATGTAGTCCACCTTGC